CCTGGTCGGGTGGGGGGTGCTGTGGGGGTTGCTGTGGGGGTTGCTGTGGGGGTTGCTGTGGGGGTTGCTGTGGGGGTTGCTGTGGGGGTTGCTGTGGGGGTTGCTGTGGGGGTTGCTGTGGGGGTTGCTGTGGGGGTTGCTGTGGGGGTTGCTGTGGGGGTTGCTGTGGGGGTTGCTGTGGGGGTTGCTGTGGGGGTTGCTGTGGGGGTTGCTGTGGGGGTTGCTGTGGGGGTTGCTGTGGGGGTTGCTGTGGGGGGTTGCTGTGGGGGTTGCTGTGGGGGTTGCTGTGGGGGTTGCTGTGGGGGTTGCTGTGGGGGTTGCTGTGGGGGTTGCTGTGGGGGTTGCTGTGGGGGTTGCTGTGGGGGTTGCTGTGGGGGTTGCTGTGGGGGTTGCTGTGGGGGTTGCTGTGGGGGTTGCTGTGGGGGTTGCTGTGGGGGTTGCTGTGGGGGTTGCTGTGGGGGTTGCTGTGGGGGTTGCTGTGGGGGTTGCTGTGGGGGTTGCTGTGGGGGTTGCTGTGGGGGTTGCTGTGGGGGTTGCTGTGGGGGTTGCTGTGGGGGTTGCTGTGGGGGTTGCTGTGGGGGTTGCTGTGGGGGTTGCTGTGGGGGTTGCTGTGGGGGTTGCTGTGGGGGTTGCTGTGGGGGTTGCTGTGGGGGTTGCTGTGGGGGTTGCTGTGGGGGTTGCTGTGGGGGTTGCTGTGGGGGTTGCTGTGGGGGTTGCTGTGGGGGTTGCTGTGGGGGTTGCTGTGGGGGTTGCTGTGGGGGTTGCTGTGGGGGTTGCTGTGGGGGTTGCTGTGGGGGTTGCTGTGGGGGTTGCTGTGGGGGTTGCTGTGGGGGTTGCTGTGGGGGTTGCTGTGGGGGTTGCTGTGGGGGTTGCTGTGGGGGTTGCTGTGGGGGTTGCTGTGGGGGTTGCTGTGGGGGTTGCTGTGGGGGTTGCTGTGGGGGTTGCTGTGGGGGTTGCTGTGGGGGTTGCTGTGGGGGTTGCTGTGGGGGGTTGCTGTGGGGGTTGCTGTGGGGGTTGCTGTGGGGGTTGCTGTGGGGGTTGCTGTGGGGGTTGCTGTGGGGGTTGCTGTGGGGGTTGCTGTGGGGGGTTGCTGTGGGGGGTTGCTGTGGGGGTTGCTGTGGGGGTTGCTGTGGGGGTTGCTGTGGGGGTTGCTGTGGGGGTTGCTGTGGGGGTTGCTGTGGGGGTTGCTGTGGGGGTTGCTGTGGGGGTTGCTGTGGGGGTTGCTGTGGGGGTTGCTGTGCTGTGCGTGGATGAGTGGGTGGTGGCAAGTGCACGTAAGCCAGTAGAAACGAATACTGAGTTTGACTCTCACTATATCCCTCCCACCCACGCATTAAACTCTCACGAACTTCCCCCCACCACGCATTTGATTCACCCCTCCCCCCACCCATACCCCCACGCACTTGACTCCCCTTTCCCCCCACACACTTGAGCCCCTCCCTTCAACGCACTTGGCATGCATGGTGGCGAGCTTCGCCACGAATGCCTCCAGGTCCAACGCCTCGTCGTAGTTGCCGTTGCGCACACAGCTGCACGGGGAGAGCACGGGCAGGGGGTGAGGCAAGAGCAGGGAAGGCATTTGAGCCAATCTTCTAGACGGCTCAAAAAGAACGCCTCCAGGTCCAACGCCTCGTCGTAGTTGCCGTTGCGCACACAGCTGCACGGGGAGAGCACGGGCAGGGGGTGAGGCAAGAGCAGGGAAGGCATTTGAGCCAATCTTCTAGACGGCTCAAAAAGAACGCCTCCAGGTCCAACGCCTCGTCGTAGTTGCCGTTGCGCACACAGCTGCACGGGGAGAGGACGGGCAGGGGGTGAGGCAAGAGCAGGGAAGGCATTTGAGCCAATCTTCTAGACGGCTCAAAAAGAACGCCTCCAGGTCCAACGCCTCGTCGTAGTTGCCGTTGCGCACACAGCTGCACGGGGAGAGGACGGGCAGGGGGTGAGGCAAGAGCAGGGAAGGCATTTGAGCCAAACTTCTAGACGGCTCAAAAAGAACGCCTCCAGGTCCAACGCCTCGTCGTAGTTGCCGTTGCGCACACAGCTGCACAGGGAGAGGACGGGCAGGGGGTGAGGCAAGAGCAGGGAAGGCATTTGAGCCAATCTTCTAGACGGCTCAAAAAGAACGCCTCCAGGTCCAACGCCTCGTCGTAGTTGCCATTGCGCACACAGCTGCACACCCGGGAGAGAAGGAGCAGGGCGGCAGAAGAGGAGCAGGAATGTCGTTTGAGCAGGTTTTCATGGTTGACTCAAAAACACGAACGCCTCCTGGTCCAACGCCTCGTCGTGATTGCCGTTGCGCACACAGCTGCATGGGAGGAGGAGGAAGGGCAGAGAGGGGCGGAGAAGCACAGGAGAGAAGTGGAGAGGAGAAAAGCATTCACAGTCTCAGAGAAGAGGCTCACGCCCGGAAGCAATATCTCAGAGAAGAGGCTCACGCCCGGAAGCAATATCTCAGCTGGAAAAGGCAACAAGTCTTGCAAACTTCGTCCAGGCAGAACATGTGGTCATGAGCCATAGCAGCACGCACATGGCCATAAACCATAGCACGCACGTCGCCATGAACCATAGCAGCACCTACTCGGCCAGCACCCACGTGGCCATGAACCATAGAAGCACCCACGTGGTCATAAGCCACAGCAACCACGTGGTCATAAGCCACAGCACCCACGTGGTCATAAGCCACAGCACCCACGTGGTCATAAGCCACAGCACCCACGTGGTCATAAGCCACAGCACCCATGTGGTCATAAGCCACAGCACCCACGTGGTCATAAGCCACAGCACCCACGTGGTCATAAACCACAGCACCCATGTGGCCATAAGCCACAGCACCCACGTGGTCATAAGCCACAGCACCCATGTGGCCATGGCCAAAGCAGCACTCACTCACGTGTCCATGAGCTGTGGGATCTCTAGAAGGTCCATGAGCGTTGGGTGGGTGGCAAGCATTGTCTTGTTCAGCCGCCTCTTCTCCATCACCCCCTGAGCCTCCTCCAGAAACTCATTGCAACCAGTTGTGAGCTTAGGGATCTCCGACACCTGATGCCAGATACAGTGGGATAGGATTCGATAAGATATGAAAGAACTAAGCAACAACCTAGGGATCTCCCACACCTGATGTCAGATCCGCTTTAACTTTAAAACGATATGATGCAAGACATGTTCTAATGTTAAATATGACAATAATGGTCATGAAGATGATAATGGCAATAATTTGACGATCAAAATGCAATCCAGACGGTCACTTCGTGACCCCAGGTGCTGGTCGCCTCTCACCAGAGACCCCAGGTGCTGGTCGACGGAGTTGATCTCGCGGTGGATGGACCGGATAGCGTCAGCGGCGGTGATGAACGCGCGGTAATGCGCCACCGCCACCTCCTGCATCTGCCGCTGCACCCTCTCCGCATCGGCGCGCAGCAGCTCCGGCTCCTGCCGCCGGTGAAGCGGGAGGGACGGGGGAAAGAACGACGTACTTTTAAGATCAAGTTGAGCCCGGATAAGTAGGAATAGACTGAGCAGCGGGAAGCAGTGGCAACATCAGTGTTCCTGATTGGTCTGGTCTGACATGAGAAGAGCACCAATCATCCATCAGAACGCATCCGGAATGGAAGTCAAGAACAGCTCTTGGCCTCTTTTCCGCCACATTTTTTTGCCATGACGTTTCCAAAGTGCTAGTACGAAACTCTGCTACCTTGCATCCCTCCCATAATGGTCCAATCCATCTTCCTTACATCCCCGGTCTCTTCATACCTTGTTCAATCGATCCAGACTGTAGGAGAGCAACTCTGATAAGTAAGCATCTTGTAGCTCCTCTAACCCTACCGAACTGCCACCCCCTGAACCTATGGAGGAGTCTCCTTGAATTTGGCTAGTGGGAGTGGTTGGCGCAAAGCTGCGCGGAGATGACGCGGGGAGGTACACGCGCGGAGAGGCCATGAATGGGGACGTGCGTGAGGACTATTTTGCTTTGGAAAAGCCTCCTTGAAAACTTGCTGGGCGAAATGCGTGCCAAGTCAAATCCGAGTGTATTTCTAGAAAGCGAGAAGCCTGCTAGGATTTGTTGCAAAGTTATCCGCTAAAGACATACCACGGTTCGGTAAGAAGGAAAAGGAACTTCGCATGAATAAAAAGAAAGTGGATAACATTTAATCTTCTAAGGGTCGACATCTTTTAGTAATGTACAGTTCAACGTTGGCGAGGGCTGATAGGCGGAAAGGTTGTCCGGGCAACTTGTATTTTTCATCCAAACTTTGCGAGGCGGAAACGTGTCACCCGCCAATCAAAACTGAGCTTTACGCCAAGAGATCGGGGTGTCAGGGAAAAGGGAATTTCCCTCCACTAGGCCTCAAGGGGGGAGGTTCTCTTGCTCCCTTCACATTGGACCTTTTCTCCACGGAAGCATCAAAGGGGTGCTGAAGCACACCACAGGCTATGGGAATTGCACGAGGGTGTTACGCGGGAACTTCGCTTATTAGCTGGGCGAAGTGGTCGCCGCGGGGATTTGCGGACCCCAAACCAGGCACCAGGCAGGCGCGCTTGGTCCACAAAGCTTGTTCTCAAACGTGGTTGGATCTAGCACACTGTTCTCCGAACCGAGAGCTCAAACCAAGCTTCCCCAAGCCAGGCAACCAACCGATAAATTGTCCCCTGCCACGGTAGCCCGCCATACCAGCCTCTAGGCCAGGATGCCCGTGCCTCGGCAAGCTGTGGGAGAAAGAAATGGCCGCTTCGGGACGGGAAGCCAGAAATTGGTCTTTCTAGGCAAAGCTCGTCAGAAGACACGAGCAGCACGATTGTGCCTTTCGAGTATTTCACGGGGATTTGGACGCCAGGCAAGCTTGCCTGACGCCGCTTGGCACACTTGAGCCGAGTGCACAAGATCACCTTTTTTCTGTTCCATGAGGCCGAAACTACGTGAAAGTGCAATCACTCATTGATTCCGCAGAGTGCTTCTTATACTTAATTTGTCAGAGGGCCGTCCAGCCGCATAGGCGGTGTCGATGGCAGTAGGTAAAATGAACGTGTCTGCTAATCCGGACGCTGCTGTTCCAGTGGAATCTAACCATCCACACGACAAAGAGGCTCAAGAGAAGAAAGTTACAGCAGATTCGCACGCTACTGATTCGCAGCAACCCGCTCCGTCTTCCCGATCAGGGTTAGTTCTTCCGGATTTTACCTTAAATCTAAAAATGTACCTTGTCAGAGAATGTAACCTCTCATGACGACCTATTTGCTGATACGAGTGGTATGTTGCAATGCAGTGGAAAGATATTTATAGGGGGCATTTCATGGGAAACGAAAACAGGTGCGCAGTGACATCCTGGATTTTATATCCCCTACTTTTCGAGTCAAGCTTTCGTCCTTCACATGCATGCAAATCGTCAAGCTTTTCCCGTCCTTGACATGCAGAGGACTTGATCGAGCATTTCAAGCAGTATGGAACCATCGTGGATGCGGTGGTTATGAAGGATCGGGTAACCGGCCGACCACGTGGTTTTGGATTTGTTACTTTTGAGGATCCCTCGGCGTGTGATAAAGTTGTGGAGGATCAACACGTCATCGGCGGCCGAGCGGTAGGTGGTGTCAGCTTCCATCATCATAACAATCTGCAAAGAGAATGTGCTCGTTGATGTATAGTGGCGTCTCATAATCTCTCGAAATTCGGCCGAGCTGACTGCGTTCTTGCTGGCTCTCGTGTAGGTGGAAGCTAAGAAGTCAGTTCCACAAAATGCAAGTGCAGGACGTGGTCCGAGGACGAAGAAGATATTCGTCGGAGGCCTTGCTGGTAGCACCACAGAAGGTAACTTGAATGTGTTTCCCTGTCCGCTATGTTCCCTGTAACACTGCATTGTCAATCGCTGATGCATGCGTTTCCCGTTTCGTGCAGAGGAATTTGCCGCGTACTTTTCGAATTTCGGAAATGTGGTGGATCGCCAAGTAATGATGGATCATAACACCGGTCGATCTCGGGGGTTTGGCTTCGTCACTTTTGACAATGAGCAAGCCGTTGAAAATGTCCTTGCTCAAGGAAAAATGCATCAACTTGGAAACAAACAGGTACAACACGGGCCAATTTTGTATCCGATTTTTTTTTCTACAATCAGCGCCCCTCCTATATATATTCCTCTGTTTGAATTCATCAACATTGACCCGCTGCCTGACCATTGCTTCGCTTGCAGGTTGAGGTGAAAAAAGCGGAGCCCAGGAGAATGGATGCTTCTGGAGGGAATGATGGCTACGGTGTAGTAAGGGGTCGTCGCCATGGTGTAGAGTACAGCTCGGGAGGTTACGGGATTCCGGGGAGCTACGGAGATGGCCCCATTCCTGCTTACAGAGGCGACTACGGCTATGGCCCTGCTTATGCAGGTGGTTATGGTGTCCCCTATTCCGCGATGTACATGGGAAGTGCAGGCTACAGGCCGTACCCTGGCTATGGAGACACGTATGGCGGAGAAGGCCAAGGAGGGTATCATGCAAATAGCCCTTTCAGTGGAGCAGCAGGTGCCAGCGCTTATGTGCCTAATGCTGGGCTTCAGTATCCAGAACCCAGTGAAGGATATGCCCCGCCTAATTTTTCTGGAGGGTACCCTCAAATGGGACCAGGTCCGCCTTCAGAATATGCTATGGGAGGGACGTATATGAGTGGGGCATATGGTGCATATCCTGCTGGTCCGTTTGCCCACCCGCCACCTTCGCCAGTACATCCAGGCTTTCAAGTTGAAAGAGGTGGAATGTTTCCTGGGCCTAGTCAATCTCACCCCTATGGGAGGGGGTGAGTTTTCCTCATTGTGACGAGTTTGACCTTTAGGTGTGTTTCTATAATGAAATACGGTGCCAGAACAGAAACAGAACAAGGAAAGAGGTTCCATCTTATTTTGAAAGGCATGTCATACGACAAACAAACAAGCAACATGTGTAATGATGCGATGTCCTTGGACTGGGACCAGAATGCTGTAAACTGGATACATAAAACATGAGATGATCATCAGAAGCCATTCCAGTGCAAGGAGCCACCATTGTTAGAATCACATTCAAATATGTTTGCATTGAATGAAACAGTTGGGTACAAGTAGCAAACCCTAGTTGGGGTTGTACCCCATATTGGCTACCCCACTACAGCCTACCAACATATAACACATTACAATTTAACACACCCCCATAGGCAAAGTGGGGGAGAACAAAGGGTCACAAGACCAGTCCAGCAAAGCAACGCAAGCCCAGGGTGGATCACAACGTCACCACACTCCGAGCACAAGCAAAGGCCACAAGGCTAGTTCACATGCAGTGCTAGATATAGAACAAGACAAGCAACAAGATATATATAAAGTACAGTACAAAGAAAGTCAAGCAGTAAGCAAATGAGGGAATGTGGACACAAGGCCTAAAGAAGAACAGTGCCGCTGATGATCACTAGGCGGGAGCGCCTTGGTGAAGATATCAGCAGTGTTGGCCTTCGAGTCCACGTACACAAGCCGAAGCTGACCGCGCTGCTGCAGCTCTCGAGCAAGAAAGTAGCGAAGAGCAATGTGCTTCGTCCTGTGCTCCAGTCTGTGCTCCTGACACAAGGCAAGGGCCGCCTTGTTGTCGCCGTACAGAACTGGAGGAGAACTAGGCCGCTCTCCCAAGTCAGTCAACAGGTAGGTGAGCCAGCGTAACTCCTGTGCAGCCATGGCCGTGGCGTAGATCTCAGCCTCACAACTAGAGCTGAGAACAGAAGAAGAGCGGGTGGACCGCCACGAGACAGAACCAGAGCCAAGGCTGAAGGTGTAACCCTGCGACGACCGCTGCGTAGCCAGGTCGTCCACCCAAGAAGCGTCCGAGTGACCAGTGAGGACAACTCTGTCGCGTCCTCCAAGCACCAGCCCCATGCCTGATGTACTGCACAAGTAACGCAGCACCCTCTTAGCAGCCTCCAAGTGCTCTCGCCTGTGTCTCCCAGGCGCAACGTAACGAGCAAGGATGCTAAGAGGGTACGCGAGGTCAGGTCGCGTGCAAGTCATCAGGTACATGAGGCAGCCTACAAGCTCTGGGTACGGGCCACTCGGCTCTACGGACTCGTCCGAAGGTGGAGCTGAGAGCGAGTGACTGGTAGCCAGAGGTGTGGCCTGTGGTGAGGAGAACTGGAAGCCGAAGCGCTGAAGGACCTGCTGCACCATGTGTGACTGAGTCAGGGTAATGGTGCGGCGTGCTCTGTCCCGGGTGATCTGCAAGCCAAGGTAGCTACGCAGCTCACCCAGGTCAGTGCAGGTGTGTCTCTTCTGCAGCTCCGACTTCACACGAGCGAGTGCCTCAGTGTCAGCAGTAGCAAAGACCAAGTCGTCGACGTACACGAGGATGTAGAACGGCGGCAGCGACGTGTCTGTGCGCAGAAACAGTGACGGGTCAGCAGTGGAAGGAGCAAACCCAAGGGCCGCAAGTGTAGTCCTCAGTGTGTCGTGCCACTCGCGCGGCGCCTGGCGGAGACCGTAGACTGGCCGCCGGAGGCTCCACTGGGTACCAGGAGGGAACGACCCAGTGAAGCCAGGAGGGCGGCGCAGCCAGATCTCCTCGTGGAGGCTGCCCTGCAAGAAAGCTGTGCTGAAGTCAAGAGAGTGCAGCTCGTAGTCACGCTGAGCAGCAACGTGCAGCAACACCCGAAGAGTGGTCATCTTCGGGGTGGGGGAGAAGGTCTGAAAGAAGTCAACCCCCTGACGCTGACTGAAGCCTCTAGCAACGTAACGAGCCTTGAAGACAGGTGGAGAACCTGGCGGCCGCTTCACCCTGAAAATCCACATGCCATCGACGATGTTCGCCCCAGGAGGGGGAACCTCGTCGACGTAGGTGCCTGTGGATTTCCAGGATGCCATCTCTGCGTCCATGGCTGTCTGCCACTGAGAGGAGTAGGAACCCAAGATCGCCTCTGCGTAAGAGCGCGGAGTGGGGATGTCTAGTGCATCCGGGTCTCCCTCAGGGGCAAGCAACCAGGCCACGAGATGAGGTACAGCAGCCGCAAGAGAGTCAAAGTCCTCCTGCCTGTCCTCAAGGACGTCCGTGCCAAGAGCACACTCACCCCCGACGGACGGAGGACAGACAGACTCAGACTCAGCAACAAGACTAGCAGCGTAGTCTAGACGACAGGCAGCAGCAAAGTCAACAAGCTCAGCGACCAGGGCAGACGCAGCAGCAGACTCAAACGACGGGTCAGTGACAACAGTGGCTAGCAGACGCGTGACAGTAGGGTGCTCAGCACGAAACCGGTCAGACTCAGGGTCCGCGACGTCAGGCAAAGAGGACGCAGGGGGAGACGGAAGAGGAGTACGCTCCGGAGTAGGGGACCGACGCAGGGCTACAAGGCGTGTGCCGGGGACAGCCGGCTAACGTGGACGAGGAACACGACGACTGGTACGACCAGGACGAACAGGCGAGACAGGACGCGACGCAGGCTCACGACGCTCAGCAAGACTACCTGTCTGCTCAGTGTAAGGAGAAGGAGCAAGCAGCGGTGAGCCAGGCTGTAACGGAAGACCAGTAGACGACGGGAGAGTAAGAACCTGACGAAGAACAGAGTCAGGCGGCGGCAGAGACGACGGAGACGGCGGAGCGAAGAACAGTCGTGGCGGCGCAGCTGCACCAGTACCGGCAGCTCCAGCAGCTCCTGTACCCCCAGCAGCTGCAGCACCTCCAGCAGCTCCAGAAGCTCCAGCAGCAGAACCGACACCTCCAGGTACAGGGTCTCCAACCCCAGTGCCTGCAGCAGCAGCACCCCCAGAACCAGTACCTCCAGTCCCAGGGTCTCCAGCCTCCACGTCTCCAGCAGCAGCACCCCCAGAACCAGCACCTCCAGTCCCAGGGTCTCCAGCCTCCACGTCTCCAGCAGCAGCACCCCCAGAACCAGCACCTCCAGTCCCAGGGTCTCTAGCCTCAGTGTCTCCAGCAGCAGCACCTCCAGACGCAGCACCCCCAGCCCCAGCAGCTCCAGTACCTCCAGTACGAGCACCTCCGGGACCAGCGACTCCAGTACCTCCAGTAGACAAAGGACCATCACCACGCCCAGCTCCAGGGACGTCAACAGAAGTACCTCCAGCAGCAGAGCCCCGGGCTCCAGCAGCGCGACCCTGACGGCGACCGTACCAGTCGTGCAGCTGCTGTGAGGTGAGAGGCACACGCGGACGAAGGCGGCCACTCCACGGAGACCGCACAGCAGCAGCTCCAGCACCAGCACCAGCTCCAGAACCTCCAGCACCAGCACCAGCTCCAGAACCTCCAGCGCCAGCACCCTCAGTAGCTCCAGAACCTCCAGTAGAAACGACTCCAGTAGTAGAGGCACCAGCGCCAGCGCCTCCCGCGGTAGGGCCCCTAGCTCCAGCAGCGCGACCCTGACGAGCAGCGTACCACTCACGCAGCTGCTGTGGGGAGAGAGGGGGTCGACGACTAGGGTGCAGCGGCGAAGCACCAGCGGAGCGACTGCGGAGACGGCCGCTGCAGGGGGACCGCGCACCAGACCCCACAGTGCCCCCAGGCGCAGCTCTCCCAGACTCAGAACCTCCAGGCTCAGCACCTCCAGACTCTGCACACCCAGGCTCCGCACCCCCAGGCTCCGCACCCCCAGGCTCCGCACCCCCAGGCTCAGCGTCCCCAGGCTCAGCACCCC